TGTCGGAAACTATGGAGATTTTAGGGTTTTTGGTCTGGGGAAGTATCTTTTGCGTGAGAGGGAATTTGAAATGATAGGTTTGGGGAAGAGGAACGCGGGTATTAAATGGAAAAGGGGAAGAAACCAGTTGGTTTTTATGATTTTTATCGTGTAGTGGTTAACGTGGCCGTTTATTAACAGTTATAGTCGAGTAGCATGGGGTTGTAATTTTAGTCAGTCCATTTTTTTTTAGGATGGGCTTGGTTTTCTATTATTGGGTTTTTTGTCCTTCTTTGTAATGTTTTAAAATGTGTGGAGTTGCGTGAAATGTGGTATATATTTGTGTCTCTATAAGTAAGGCTCCCTAATTTTATTATGTGGTTTTTTCTAAATTTAAAAATGTGACATCCCACATCGCCCAAGGAAGTGATCCTTAAATGTATATTCTCATCCCTACCTAGCACGAGGCCTTTTGGGAGCTCACTGGCTTCGGGTTCCGTAGGAACTCCGAAGTTAAGCGAGAAGGAGGCTAGAGCAATCCCATGATGGGTGACCCACTGGGAAGTTCTCGTGTGAGTTCCCAAAAACAAAACCGTGAGGGCGTGGTCGGGGCCCAAAGGGGACAATATCGTGCTACGGTGGTGGAGCGGCCCCGGGAAGTGGTGCGCCCCGGGCCGGGATGTGACAATTTGGTATCAGAGCCTAACCCTGGTCGCGTGTGTGCCGACGAAGACGTCGGGCCCCTAAGGGGGGTGGATTGTGACATCCCACATCGCCCAGGGGTGATCCTTAAATGTATATTCCCATCTCTACCTAGCACGAGGCCTTTTGGGAGCTCACTGGCTTCGGGTTCTGTAGGAACTCCGAAGTTAAGCGAGAAGGGGGCTAGAGCAATCCCACGATGGGTGACCCACTAGGAAGTTGCTCGTGAGTTCCCAAAAACAAAACCGTGAGGGAATGGTAAGCCCAAAGCGGACAATATCGTGCTACGGTGGTGGAGCGGGCCCGGGAAGTGATCCGCCCCGGGCCGGGATGTGACATTATATTTATAACTCGTTCAAATATTAATTACATTTTTTTATTAAATATTAAATGTTTTTTCTTATTATACTCTTCTCCAACAAGAGCAACTTCCTTCATAAACCCCCTTCGGGGACGTCACTATACCCGAGGATGCGGGTCTTAAGATCCTAACTAAGACCCTTCATTAGACGCTTGGTCATAGTCATGGCAAGGTTGTTGGGGGGATGGGGAAGGTACGGGTTAGTGAGACAGGTGCCTCTTCTTCCAAACTGACCACATGATAAGTTGTCGCACAGGACAAGAAGATGAGCATGATCTTACGGGCCTTCGAGCTGTCCGAACTCCAAATCTTGATGCTAGCACCTGATGCTGCTTGACCTTCGACCTTCCAGCCATTTCACCCAACCGATACCTAGTAGCCTGATGCATCAAACCCGAACGACTATTTGTTGTAGTTTTTTTTTTCTATTTGGACAGCTTGTACGTACATTTTCATATATTTTATAATTAAATACTTTTTCTTCGTTTATTAATTATTGTTTATTAAAATTATACAAAAAATATGTTGTAAAAAATAAAATAAAAATAACTAACTTTGCGCAACAACGATGTAAGCTACTTCGCGCAAAAGGGCTTTGAGCGACAACAGTAACCTACATCGTGCACCTATCTTTGCATGACATGAAAGTAAGCTATGTTGCACAAAGATTTCACGCGATGTAGGTTATTGTCGTCCTGCAAAGACCTTTTGCTCGACGTAGCTTACGTTGTCGTCGTGCAAACCATTTTTTCACTACCTTTGCGCGATAGGATCCACGCAACAAAAGTTTTTTCGTGCTAATTCTCAGACAACGTTTTTTGTCTTTGAGCATCCAACTATGCTTCGTTGCGCAAACTGGTAATTGTAGTAATGACGGATGTGATAATGACCATTAGAACTACTGCCAACTAGAAGTACCCTTCCTCTTCTTGTTGTCCTTAACAAAAAACCATAAACATTCATGACTAGTCTTTGAAATTTCTAATTCTATCAGCACTTTTCTGCATGCTACTCAGGTAACTGGCTCTCGGACAAATGCTCCTCCATTACCGATGGTACCTGTCACGTGGACTCTTCCAAGTCCGGGGTTTATCAAGCTTAATGTGGATGCTAGTTGGGAAGCGTCATTGGGCTCGGTTATGTTGGGGTGGTTGCACGAAACAATGCTGGGGGTTTTTTGGGTGCAGGTAGATATAGTGTGAAGGCTCGGAGTGTGGCTATGGCAGAGGTGTTGGCTATTAAGATTGGATGTGAGCTTGGTCATCAGTTGGGTTAGCATTCTGTGGTTCTTGAATCTGACTTCTCTGAAACCATTTTAGCTTTGCGGGACTCGCCTTCCAAGGGCAGGTGAGAAGCTTTCCCTCTTCTTCAGCAGTGTATTCGCTTGGGAGATTCTTTCCATGTCTGTCGCTAGTCTTAGATTCCAAGGTTAGCTAACAAGGCTACGCACTTTGTGGTGTCGCTGCTATGTCGAGAGATGAGCATTGGGGTTTGGGTTTTCAGACCTCCATCTTCCCTTGTTTTTGTGCTTTGCAATGATGGACTTCCTTGTCCACACTAGGTATCTCAGAGGGTAGTGTAGGAAGTGACGCTTTAGCATCAGATGTCTTCGGGATCTTTGTATCTCCTTGCATTGCCTATTTGTGGTGTAGTTTCTGGCTGTTTGCCTCTCTGTAGGCTTACTTGTACTCTTTTGGCTGTTTTGCTCATCAATCTTATCTAGTTTTCAGAAAAAAAAAAAAAAAAACCTAACAGTCATTGTCATGACAAAATTTCCTAGTAGACAATATATTTTTCTGAATGGCAGTAACACATGATAACATCTTCCCGTCTTTTTCTTGAAGAAATGGTTACAAATTCCACTCGACTGATCAGTCATTGCTTTGAGAAGTATACATGGGAAAAATATAAACATATTGATAAACAATTAGTTTGCTATATGAATGATTAAACTCCATCCATGAAGAAATGGTTACAAATTCAACTCATCTGATCAACCTATATAGTTGTAGGAATATGAATGGGAAAAATATAGATATACTAAGTTCGAGCCAATTGGATGTTAGAAGAGTCAGCCAATTGAATGTGAGTAGTGAGTACCTTGGATTATAGGTCCTATTTAGTGGGTTGGATGGGATAGGTTGTGATCAATTAAAATGGATTTGAGTCCAATCCGTTGTTTGTTGTGTCAAATGTGAGATGGACAGGTTTAATGGTTATGAATCCACAAGAGTGGGTTATATAACCTATCCTTATACATGGGTTACAAGTACTGTCTTACAAGTCTCTGCCAATCAAATCCTATCTCTAAGGCTCAATCCCATCCAGCCCACCAAACGGGTCCTAATTGTATATGAAGGGTTGTTAACCTTCGGTGGTTCCAATTATTCTCAGTAAGTTGCTAAGTTCAAGAGTCTCTCACCATTTATATAAGCCTTGTATCATATATGATCAGTCATCTGAAACATCATAATCCATAGGGCCAGGGATTGATGTATTTTTCAAACAAAATAATGTCAAGAAAAATTATGGGGAAGTGAAAACCAATCTATATTACGCGTTTTCGGATAGAAAATTGTCTAGATATTGTGATACTGAGAAGATCTGTTCCAAAAATGCAAACGAACTTCATAATTAATTTTTTATCAATGGCAACACAGCGGGATCGACGTTATATTTAGACCAAGTCAACTATCAAATTTGTGCTTGATGCATCTGCAGAGAAACCCTTCTCCACCATTTCACGAACACGTCCCATCGCCCTTGATATCTCATTATTGCTAAGAAACCCTCGGATAATTTTACCTATAATAACACTCCTTGTTTCCACATCCATCCCCTTCTTACAAAATGGATTAACCAAGACACTCAAGGTGTGTGCATTTGGAAAGATATTTTCTCACCGTTTCTTTCAACAACCTTGTACCTTCTTTCCACTTGCCTAGCATGCAAAACTCCATGAATCAAAGAGATACTAAATGGCAATGAGGGAACACCATTACAATCATTTTTAATAAAACCTTCAATGCGTCGACAATTAGCTTATCCTTACAGAGATAGTGTCGGGCTTATAACCCCTTTCTTTCATCTTTCTGAGCAACTGAATAGCTGCACTATTGTTACCCATCATGTAAAAGCCCTTTATAAGTGTGTTGAAAGTAATCATATTGCGCTTACAACGTCCCTCTACCACTTTTTGAAAAGTATTATTGCCTTAAAAACTCTATTTTCAAGAAGTTACACGTGGAATAGAATGTTGAGGGTCGAGACATATGGTTCAAAACGAAATTTGAAGAATTTTGCCAAGATGAGTAAACTAAAAACCCATTTGGTTCGTACAACAAAAGCAATTAAGAATAATGTTCAAAGAACATCTAAAACAATTCTCAATTGACCCATTTGGTTATACAAAGAAATGACGGCCGTATAATGTTTCAACTTTGCAAGCAGACTCATTAGTTGATTGAAGCGGACAACCAAAGGCAGATGCCACATTAGGCTCAATATATCTCTTTATCATCATTTCAATCACACTCCTTGCTTCCACAACCATACCCCCTTACAAAATGCACAACCAAGACATTGAAGGTGCATCCACTTGCCTAATCTCCAAACTCCATGAATCAAAGAGGTATACAAAATGATATTCGGGGGAGATCCTTATTAATAATTTCTGGGAAGATGTTCATTGTGTGGACCGAGCTTACAACCTCTTTGATCAATCTTTCTAAACATCTAAATAGCTACACAATTGTTACCTATCATGCAAAAGCCTGCTATAAGTGTGCTGAAAGTGATCACATTTGGCTTACAACCTCCCCTCCACCATTTATTTGAAAAGTCATGATGCCTTAGAAACTCCACTCTCAAGAAGAAAACCGAGTGCTGAGGGTCATGACATTTGGTTCAAAACCAAATTTGAAGAATTTTCCCAAGACGGATAAGCTAAATCACACACTTCAAACAATAAAAGCGATTGATGATGATAGCTAGAGTATACACATTAGGAACAATCCCAGCAAACCCATTTAGTTATACAAAGAAATCATGGCCGAATAATGTTTCACTTTCCCAAGTATCTGGGTGAAACAGACAACAGAAGGCAGAGGGCGCATTTGAAGCCTCACATTGAACAAACTCAAAGCGTCCTCGAGATTACCAATTTTGGTGGGTAGGTTCTTCTCCCTGACAAGTTGTTGCTTATTGGGGTGGGTATTTGTAGATTCATTGGGTTTAGGGTTTGAGGATTGAGAGTGAAAGAATGCCAAGTAATTGTTGAAGAAAACAACACAAGATTGAGGGCAAGGAAGCATCTTGCTTGCTGCTAATTGCTAAAGCATGCGTTGTGTAGCTTCCTTCGGCGCCTACAAAATTAATGGAATTTCAAATTATGATTTCCATAGATCAATTGCCATGTGCAATTAGTTTCAATGATCAACTTGAAATTAAAAAATTAAAAAATAAATAAACAAATCACAACCCAGAATAAGACCTAAATTTAAATCTGAATTAAAAACCATAATTTAGGCACAAGAAAATTAAAGGACGCATATATGTTCAACAAAACAAAGAGCAACCCCCAGCAAATGAACGTACAATTCGAATCAGAACCCAATAACTTTTAGTACCTTTACAACTTCAGAAAAATCCCAAATCAATAAACCCAGGATTTTCAAGAGAAGGAAACCCATACTGGAATTCACATATATATCTCTGAATCATTTTGCGTTCGTGATTAGGAATTGAAGCTTTGGCTTCTCTCTTCAGCGTCGTGCACTCCTCTTCTGCGTTGCGGCTCGCTCGCGATTAAAGGTATGGAGAAACGGGAAGAGAAGAAGGAAGATTTTTTGACCTATTTAATCTCAGCCGCACAATCTTATTAAATACAATCCAACCACTGAGCACGAGATCCATTTTTTGAAAAATAGAATTCCTAGCCTAGAAAGATGTCATCTTCTATTAATAGCATATAGGCACACACAAAGTGTGTGAGATTTTTTTTTTTTTTTTTTTTTTTTGAAATAGACGTAGAGATGAAGGGAGTGATAGAGAATGTGGGAGTGAGAATTTTTTTTTTTTTTTTAATTAGAGATATGTTAGGATTATATATAGATAATGCTTTAAAAAAAAAAACAACAAAATTTGGTTGTGTAAAATTACATTTCTACCTCGTATTTCTTATTCATGTTCTGTGTTAATTAAAAGGTTAAACTGGTAATTTCATAAGATTTTAGTTGACAATGAATGTTTTATTAATTAGTAGAGATAAATAGATATAAAACAAAATTTTATTGTCAACCAAAATTTTATAAAATTATTATTTTTAATTCTCTAATTAAAATTAGAGAATTATTATCAATACTCTATTAATTTTATTTTACATTCTAAATTTTTTATAATTTAAAAAAAATAACTTACGAGCAACGTCAAATAAAATATTTAGAGTGATAAAATAATTCCCTAAAAACTAAACATGAATAAAACACATGGGCACTAACAAAAAAAACAACATAATATCTAAACTTTTTTTGTCACATCCCGGCCCGGGGCGCACCACTTCCCGGGGCCGCTCCACCACCGTAGCACGATATTGTCCGCTTTGGGCCCCGACCACGCCCTCACGGTTTTGTTTTTGGGAACTCACACGAGAACTTCCCAGTGGATCACCCATCATGGGATTGCTCTAGCCTCCTTCTCGCTTAACTTCGGAGTTCCTACGGAACCCGAAGCCAGTGAGCTCCCAAAAGGCCTCGTGCTAGGTAGGGATGAGAATATACATTTAAGGATCACTTCCCTGGGCGATGTGGGATGTCACAATCCACCCCCCTTAGGGGCCCGACGTCCTCGTCGGCACACACGAGACCAGGGTTAGGCTCTGATACCAAATTGTCACATCCCGGCCCGGGGCGGATCACTTCCCGGGCCCGCTCCACCACCGTAGCATGATATTGTCCGCTTTGAGCTTACCATTCCCTCACGGTTTTGTTTTTGGGAACTCACGAACAACTTCCCAGTGGGTCACCCATCGTGCCCGGGCCCCCACCACAACCCGGGCCCGATCCACCACCGTAGCACGATATTGTCCGCTTTGGGCTTACCATTCCCCGACCACGCCCTCACGGTTTTGTTTTTGGGAACTCACGAGCAACTTCCCAGTGGGTCACCCATCATGGGATTGCTCTAGCCTCCTTCTCGCTTAACTTCGGAGTTCCTACGGAACCCGAAGCCAGTGAACTCCCAAAAAGCCTCTTGCTAGGTAGGGATGAGAATATACATTTAAGGATCACTTCCCTGGGCGATGTGGGATGTCACATATAAGAATAATAAAAATTACATATACTTACATGGAGCTGCTTAGCGGTCTCATCGTCGAGTCGAATATAAACATCCTTGAACATGTTGAGCTCTGGGAAATTAGAACCCTCCTGAAGAAAAAAAAAAATAAAGAAATTTTATTAACCATAGTAAAAGAATAAAATTGTATAAAATTTAAAATCAATATACTTTTACCTGACGTCGCTCCTCAACCCTATAGGAGAAAGTCATCAAACTGGAATGGTGGAGAAGTGTCTTTGACTCCCAAGCTTTCTAGCCAGCAATAAATTTCTTCTGTTAAACACACAATATACATGTTAGTTCGACTATTTGAAAGAAATTATTAATTTTTTTTTAAATAACTAAAACAGAATTAAATTATTATTAACATATTATGTACATACTTGCCACAAATTTTGTGTCCGTACAATGTTTGCAGAGCCACTTCCAATCCTCCGGCTACTCCAACAACTTTGTTGGGCAATCGTCTAGGCGAGCAATCTCCAGATCATCCCATTTCTTAAAATGCGCATGGAGTTCGTACTTCCAATGTTTGAACCGAGTTGCTAAGTTCTCCTCTAAGTAGGCGGTGTCCTCAGGGTATATGTCCTTAAGATTATAATTGAACTACAAACATGAAAATAATAAAATAATAAAATAATAGTAAGAAATTAATAATATTTAGATAATATACTTTTGTTTATAATATTTGTAAACAAAATTAAAAAAATGATAAAGGCTAAAAATGAAAATACAAATCGACAGCTCATGTTGCATCACTGCCTTCGTATCCTCGGAAATTTTTGCCCAAGACTCCCATTGCATAGGACAATGCCATCGAATAACAAAATGAGCACAGGTAGTGATGCTGCTATGAGGTAGCCGTTCCATGATGTCGCGGGTCATACGCAATCTTAATTAATTCATTGGACACACATACGTTGTGTCCCAGCTTCAACATTCGATTAGGCCCCCTGGTTTTTTTAAGTTGCCCAACAAAGTTAAATGGTCAAAAACCCTAATCTTAAATTTCTACCGAAAATTTGGCAAAACCTCCCCTGATAGTATATGATTAGAAATTACTACCCGCGCATTGCAGCAGGATTAGAAATTGTATGCAGATTATGTTTGAAACATATAAAAGATTGTGTCTTAGAACATTGTTTCAATTTATTTAGGTACAATGAATTGAAAGTTTCAGCAATCATGCCAAATGTTGGGGGAATAAGGCTTTTGGCTGGAATAACATTGCTTTTATGTTTCTTCCCTTCCACCATTGCAGTTCCTGTTAGAATAACAATTATTCACAATACATACGAAAAAATACTGTTATTCTGATATATATATATAGAACTCAGACTGGGAAATACTAAAGCCACAACGCCTGAAATTTAAACCAAGTTAACTGTACAACAAAATATAAATTTCTGCTTTACCAAACCCGGGAGTAGAAACATGGGACGCCTATAATCTCCAGCCTATGACTGTTATACGCTTGGATTGTTGAATAAAAACTGAGAGACGTTTGTAAGATGCTTGTCACTGCTTCTTTCATCAACTCTTCTTGATCTTTAACTTTGAGTTGTGGTAGATTAGTGGCGCATGAATTTTCCCTTGTAAACTACATTTTAGATCTAAGAACGAAACACATTTATTAAAAAGAGGAATGCACTGTTAGAAACATGGGTAATTAACAATTAAAATAGTAACCTCAAAATTCATATAATCTGACCTAAACTAATTAAAATGATTTGCTTATTTTGGTAGAGGATTAAGAAATTAGGTATAATGTATGAAATTAATTGCAAGGATGAATAAAACACTTCAAACAACTATAAGTTTTATAGAAAAGCTTTTCAAGAGCTTAGTTGGAGGAGACAGGTATCTGAAATACATCACTCAAAAGAAAATGATTATTGAAATTTACAATGCTTAATCCTCCATATTAAATTTTATAATGCAATGAAAAGCTTGTTGAATAATATTATGAAATTCAGCAGATTCACTAATCATCATACAATAATTTGCGTAGAATATGTACAAAGATTGAGACATTACTTACAAAATGTGATTCAGAATGTTGACCACTTGTGTGGGCAGTAAAGGGTAGGGTCAATGAGATAACCAACTCCTACACTGCAAATGAATAAATTGAGAACAACAATGCTTAGAAAATCATTTTTAATAAGTTAACAACGAAAGAGAATACTACATTTCTTCAGTGTCATAGTTGGAAACTCCTTTTTTTTTTTTCTTCCATAAATATGGATTTAGAATAATGTGAAGCTGGAATAAACAAAAATTGAAAAGGATTAGAGATTCATGGTTCTTACCTAAATTAAGTTGACATACAACAAATTTAGTTTGTATAGCCTCAAATGAACATCACGTACTTAATCAATTAAACACAAATAATTTATATTGTACTTTATTTCCAACGTATATGTGCCATAGAAACAATATGGCTTTTGCCCAGTGAACAAAAGGTTCTTTTTAATTAGTGGAGAAAAAAATTTTTACATGCAACATTCGAATACCTGCAATTGAAGAAAGCGAAGCGTTGGAAAGTGGAATTTGTTGATAAAAAATCTATATAAGCTTTCCTGTAAAGTAACCAAACTAATTGCAGCAATTTTATCTTTTTGAATAATTCATAGGGATGGAAAATGCAAGCAAATAACATGAACAACAATCAACGTAATAACATTAATAAATCAAATATTTCAGCATTTTGTTTGAGAAAAGACACAAAGGAAGCAGTTGAAATTTCTCGTCTCAATGACTAAACCAAATTATACACCTACATGCAAGATTGGAAGGTACAAAGAAAACCTTCAAAACCATGGAAAAAAAAAAAATTTAAATAGAATACCCATTTGCAAATCCTAAATCAGAAGAAAAAAAAGCATATCGATCAAGAGAGCTGTGATATTGAACTTAAATGGCAAAAAATAGAATAATAAACTGAAAATATTTAACTAGTTTTATCAGAAAATATGCTAAAGATGACATCTTGATGATAGAATTAATGAAAATTTCAATTGACATTATCTACAAATTTACACTTTCATTAATCAAGAAAATTCCAACATATTATTTCACTTGTAAAAATTGAGGGAAAAAAAACTTGGTATATAATTACAGGTTAAGCTGATCTTCAAAACGACTGAATTCCCTGCATGGAAGATTTCATATCTGTGCTTTAAAGTAAATGCATTTGTGTGCAAATGCCTGTTAATGTAATTCTAAGTAATAGGAAAAAAAAAAAAAAGAACAAAAAGCGGATGAGAATCATTCAAACACGGAAAAAGTTGATATATAAAAAAAAACACAAAGTTGGATAGGAAAAATAGGGATGAAAAAAATACCAGGAGAAAGAGCAGAGGAGATGCAATCCAGTAACTAAATACTTAACTCAAAAAATAAAAACTCAAACCTTTGCAATTAGATAAGGCTAGAAACAATCTACTATTAAAATGGTTTACATTATAGAGTCTTCGTGATTTTACTGTTTGTATAACATGAACAAACTAGCATCAAAACACTTACCCCAACAAAAATCACGACTCATCAAATCACTTACCCCAACAAAAAAAAATCACAGAGAACAAATTTACCTGCATCAACATGCAGCCAAAGCAAGAAAAAAAATATATATATATAAATCAACAATTCATCAAATTGAAAAGAGAATGTATTTAAGGTTGGAAAAAAGCAGGCTTAACATGCATCGACATGCAGCAAAACAACTTTTTTTTTAGAAATACTGACCTTTCACTGATATTGCAACGAAAATGGCAAGGCGGACAGATTCAACCCAAAGATCAGGCACCGCCCTCTCCTGAAATCAAAACAATCAACCAATTCCCAAAATGAACTGTAACTGAGAAAATTACCCGCCCCAAATAGACTTGGGACCTAAGAATATTCAAGAAGTTCTTATAACTAACTATAACTTTACCTGTCAGCATTGATTTTCAAGCCTAGACCAAAGGTTTCTGCATAAAAACAAAGTCTGTTATTTCGCTAAATACTATAACATGAGAAGGTTTCAGGTAAAATGAATTACCAATGAAATGAACTAACTTGTACGTTTCTCTTACGGACAACACGTAGTAAAGTGAATGCATGTTCTTCTCTCTAAAAGAAAAAGTTGGGTCACATGTTTTAAGAAAAAACCTACCAAAAAAAAAAAAAAAAAGGGTTAATATGTTACTTTCTCGGGAAACAAACAGACCGCCATTGAAATCCACATGTCACGAAAAAAGAAGCACAACGTGCAAACAAAATCAAGCAAGATGGATCCAGATCCAAAACATGATTAAAACCCACAAATCCATCACCAAAACAAATAATTTCCCTAACAAAATTAATCAAATTAATAACTTTTCAACTTGATATATAGATACACAACGACATGTATAAACATATGAGAGATATAGAGTGGGAGAGAGAGAGGTAGAGGTAGAGAGAGACTTGATGGTGTTGATGAATGCTGGAGAGTGATAAAAGCAGAGCACAACTAGAGGTTGCTAAAAGAGATTAAATTTGAGATCTAAGTGACAATCTACAGTGAAAAATTAAATATTTGACTTTTGGGTATTTGAGAAGAAGTGACATTTAGTTACCTGTGTAAGGAGAGATTGGGAGCAAGATGCGGCGATGAGGAGATCGCGAAGCAGAGATTGAAGAGATGAGAAAGTAGAGATCAAAGAAATCATGAAATAGAGATGGAAGAGATCGCAAAGTGGAGCGTAATAAGCATGATCGAAATTGCCAATCACGTTGCACAGCAGTTGAGTTTTCTCTGGTTTCCGAAGAGGTCAAGAGATTTCTACCGGACAGCAGGGCCAAAACCGTCGCTTTAGTGTGTAATACACAAAAAAAGCTAGACTTGAAGAGCAACTGAAGGGCAAAAAAGGGTAGGGCATTGTGGAAGTAACAATAACTCATTTTCTCTTTTAGTGTATATATAAAGGAATTGTTATTAGTACTTCAAAATTCACATTTTACACTCCAAACTTTCTATATGTAGAAAGAAAAAAAAAACACTTGAGAGGAGTGTAGAATGTGATTTTTGGAGTGCCAATAACACTTCTCTATATATAATATCCCAAAACTTGAAAGCAGTAAAATAACAGTAATTCACATCCACGACACATTTTCACAATCTAACAAATTTTCACAATCATAAAACTAATAGTTTTAAAATGAAAAAAAAACGACATAGTGAAAATTAGAAAAAACTACTTGGCTAGGAGTCCCCACCCTCGACTGTGAATGTGAATGAAGTTTGATTAGAAGGCTCTGGATGGTGGCGCCACCGGTGAGGCCGTCGTGCACTGAGCGGTTGAACTGACACTAATGACGTCGATGATGTGAGCACCTAGGATGCCCTGAGAGCAACCTGAGTAAGCAATGTAGGCTCACCAATTGATGGACCACTCATAGTCACAGTAGTAGGTGCTATGCAGAAGGTGCATTGGTCACACCCTGACAACGAGTGATCAACTGCAACAACTATACAATTTTTGAACCATAAAAATATAACATTAGAGACCCATATATATATATGTATATATATCATCCTAAATAATTGAAGTAGTTTGTTCCCTAATCCTTTCTTGCATTTGAAACTAATCAATTAGCAACCAACTAATCAATTAGCAGAAAATTTACATCCCCTCACATTCACGCAACGCAAGATATTGGAAACATAGCCATCTGGAAACTTTACAGAAGAAATAAAGTTGAAAAACTCTTTCTTCCCATCCAGCTTAACTTTAAAAAATAGATGGCCTTTCTTCAGTTTAGTATTGACTCTCTTCATCCACAAGGATGACCTAACGCCCATTCATTCTAAATTGAAACGAGCTTTGATCGTGTCTCATTTTAACTTTGACCAGTACATGAGCTCAAATAACATACCCTTGTGCGTCTAGTTCAGATGTGCAGTTGGTCTGGTCGTATTGACCCCTTTGCCAAAATGACCAAAATCTAAATGGTTTATCTGATCCAAAATCTCATCTCCGAACCATTCTTTTGGTCTTGGGCTAGTCTTTGTTGTGCCGTGGAAGGCTTTATCGTTCTAACGCCACGCGTTGTCCTAAGGGAGCCACCTACGATGACCAAGATAACATACATTTCTCGCATGCCAAGATGATGTTACGTTCTCCTTGCATATTGGACATGTCAAATAACCCTTTGTCGTCCACCTGGAAACCATGGCATACACAGGAAAAATTGTTTACGGTCCACATCACTACTGCTCGAATGGTGAACATCTGCCTAGTATACTTATTGTATGCACAAACATCGTTTTTCCATAAATCCTTTAGCTCATCAACCAACGACCACAATAAATATCAATGAGCTTTCCTGGATCTTCAGTAATTAATAGAGTCAACATCATGTATTCTTTTTTCATGCACTTCCAATGCGGCAAATTATAAGAAAACACGACGACCGGCCAAGTGTTATGGATTTGGTCTAGAATCACGAACGATTAAATCTATCAGTGGCAAGTCCCAATCTGACATTGTGCGGGTCAGCTACAAAATCAGGGTACATCTGATTAAATTCTTTCCAAGCCTCTCCGTCTACATGATGCCTCATAACATCATCATTTACTCATTGTTCCTTATGCCACCTCATGTTGCTTGCAGTATGCATCGACACGTACAATCGCTACAACCTAGGCGTTAATGGAAGCTAACACATTACTTTTTGGGGAATCTTGGTCTTTCTATTCTGTGATGTCATTTTAAACCTTGGCTCATTGCATACAGGGTATTTATGCAACTGTTTGTTCTTCTTATAGAACAATATACAATTATTTACACATGCGTGAATTTTTTCAAACCTTAATCCGAGACCCTTCAACACTTTTTGGTCATTTTTATGATCTTGAGGTAAACAATTGTCCTTTGGAAGCATCCTCTTGATGACTCCCAAAAAGTAATCAAAACACTTGTTTGACATACAAAACTTGATCTTGCCATGCATCAACTCCACAGTTGTCGTGAGCACCAAAAAGTCCTGGCAACCCTGATATAATTATTGCTTGGCATTTTTCAATAGTTTTTCATAGTTTTTTAAAGCCTCACTGTCCATGGTTGGAAGGACGTCATCTCCCCCTTCTTGATTGGTGTTGGTCGAGGCTTATGGATAAACGTCATTTAGAATATCCATAACTTGTTCGTTTGGATCCACATTAGATTCAACACTCTCTACTCGTGTCACATATGAAGACGAAATATGGTCTAATTATTCCCCATGATGATTCCAAGTAGTATAGGTCTCCATCATCCCATTTCTTACTAAATGAAATTGAACATTTTCGAATGTCTCCCTCATTGAGTTGTTACACCTCCTACACAAACACTAGATATGAGTTGAACACAGGTTGTGTCTACTTGCAAATTCAATGAACTCATCAATTCCATCTAAGTTCTCAGTAGCACATCTATTCTAATTCTGTATCCACTATATGTCCATTTTGTCTGCAATCACAATAAAAAGACAAGAATTACAGCAATTTCAACTATTGTCTTGTCACCTTATGCATGGCACCTGTCCAGGGCCCAAAATTTTACGGGGCACCAAAAAAAATCCCAATTATTTAGGAAAAACAAAAAAATACAAAAAACAAAAAACAAAAATGATACAGTGCACACCGTTTTGTTGATCACCACTTCATCTTCCGGTCTTGGACGCTTTGAAATTCTTGGTTTTTTAATGCGTATTCCAATTCCAAGGATCAAATTCCATGTTCGAAGCCTGAAGCCTTTAATTTGATTAAAGGATTATAAATGAGTTCTTTAAGAACAAAGAATTTCTTCCAGATTTTTAAGAATTATATGCTTGTGCCAGTCCTTCAAATTCAAATTTCAAAAGAATTCGAGTTCCAGAATTTTAGTCGGTTTAGTCCCCTTATTGGTCTTTCTTTTCAGACTTCAAGTAATCCAATTCCATTCGAAAATCGAACACCTAACACATGACGGTGCGAAACGTTCAGTATCTTATTTTTTGGTTTTGCACAGTAAAGAACAATTTTTTTTATTTTTTTTTTCCAGTTTGTTGTCTGCCACTGCCCAAATTAAAAACACTTTTTTTGTTTTTTTTTCAATTTTTTCAAGTTGGTTTTGCTTTTTACAAATTAGTTTTAATGTGTATCAGGGTTGCAAACTATAACAATCGAGTCATGTCGAGACTGCAAAAGCATCAAAGTTTGAGACTTTGAGTGGTGACTGGCGAATAGGTAATTTTGAAAATACATGATGAAATTTTAATTGATATGTTTCCATTACTAATTTTTTTATAATATATGTTAGAATGTTAGGCAAAATTGATTAGCAATCTTAAGCATTGAATGTGATCAGATTGAACAGTTGGAGTATTATGTTATAGTTGATGATTTTGCTTCAGAAAGTGCAATAAGAAAATTTCATAGAGGCTGAAATTTCATAGAGTTTTGCTTGGAGTGGTTATATAAGATTGTACTTTTGATTGTCGGGGTTTAGCTACTTTGTCCCCCAATTGTATATTTTTTAAAGTAATATAGTTTGGGCGTGAGCACCTAACCTTTAGTTTTTACTGGGTTACAACCGTCTTTAAATATTCTTTTTTGAATACATTTTCGTGTATTGAAAAGGGGCACATTTTGAGCCTTCGTCCTGGGTACCCAAAAACTCAAGATCGGCCCTGACCTTATGCCTTCGGTAAGGGCCCTATCCCATTTAGGAATGCACAATTATGTTCTGTAATTTGTGATTTCATTGGATTAAAATTCGACGTGAGAAAATTTCGACAGCATCTCCTTACAGTTCTTCAAGTGCACGTTGTAGATATATAATATTTACCATGCACTCAAAGAACATTAAGAAATATTACCAAAATTCCCACTATCAAAACCTAAACCTAATCTGTTAACCACAAACTACGACACATAACTATGCATTCCCAAACTGTTCAAAAAATGGGACAATTCAAGAATTAATTGGACCATGGTCATGCTTTCACATCCATGCACGAAATCCAACTAATTCTCAAATGAGGAAACTAAGTTTTTCTTGAAAAAGTGTACAAAGTTAAGTAATATTAATTCCATACAACACAAAACAATTTTGTACGTGATGTACAAAAATATTTCTATACAAATAAATTAAATCACAATAATTACTAAAACTAAATAAAACAGCTAAAATTAATAAAGATTAATTTAGCCAAAAAATACCTTCAAATTCGTTCTTCAATGATATTCGTATACAAAATCCTATACAAAACAAATTTAATTGTTTTAGTTTGAATTCTCAATTCAAAGTTACATATACAAATTCAAATCGCTTACCGGATAGGGATAGATCGAGCAAGGGAGAGGAGATGGAGGAGAAGAGAGATGGAATATTTGTATGATGAATTTAAGAGCAAGGGAGGGATTGGACAAGGTTTTCAAGAGAGATGAGGGAAGGAGCTGCTGCAATTTGTTTATAGTTTCTGCCTCCCGGACTGCTTTTGTGATTTGGAAATACTCGTTGACTTTGTGCAACGAAGGTCCTACCGTGCAAAGTATCAAACAACGTCTCTCATACTGTTTGATGCGAAACATTACCGCGTATTTTACAGAAAATTGCGCTACGGACCAATCTCGTTGCGCAAAGGGTCTTTGTGCAACCGAGAACTAAACCGTCGCACAAAAACCCTTTGCGTGACGCATTTGATCTGTTGCTCAATTTTTGGCACCAAACCAGGATTTTACCGCATCTTTTCCAAACATTGCGTGGTGAATGTGTACCTTCGTTGTGCTAAAAAAGTGTGTGCGATGCAAAGCTTTGTCCCCTAATGGCCCGTCGCACAAAATGTCATTGCATGACGCTTCTTTGTCAACATCGCGCGAAACATTTTTGCGTGATGTAATATACTTATTGT